AATATTTTCTTCAACATTTTTAACATTTGAAGCAGGATCAAAACTTCGTTAATTGTCCCATGATGAGCAGAAAGCTATAATTTACATTATTTAAACTTGAAGAGCTCTTAACATTAATTGAGGAAAACTAAATTTCCAATCTGACATAATAAATCTATAATAATAAATAATAAATCGATTATTTGAGAATTTTATTTAAGATTGAAAGCCATAATTTTAATCTTAAAAAAGCCAAAAAATCCAGCATCTTTCGCAGTATTTGCACGATTTTCCTTTTGAGTAGTTTTCCTAGTTTCGTTTTCACATTATTTTTTCCTGATGCCCATTCGGACTTTCGTGAGCCTCTGGGAATATTTGTGGGCTTTTCTTTGCTTAATTTCTAATTAACATGAGCTTTGTGCTAACTTTTCTCGCCTGTCATTAGTCATGCATGCCCTTGAGGGCAGGCATAGCCATTTCCCTCCCTCCATCTCTCTCCCTCTCTTTCCATATTGCTATTTTTTGCCTGGCTTAATTATGCGTCGCTCTGATTTGTTGTTGTCTTTTGTTTCCAGCTGGGAAAAAGCTCTGAGGCACTCGACACTCGCACGGAGAGCCAATTAATTACCACCAAATGTGGGACAACGGGCAAGATCTAGGAGATGGGAATAGATCGCTACTGTATGTGAATATATGTGGGCATGATGTGGACATTTATCTGATGTCCCTAAAGTCCTATCTACAATGTGCATAGTAAGCACAAATCATTTGTACTCTTAGCCTATCCTCAATAATTGCCTGTACCCATGTGCTAGGCTCATCTGATGAGCCAATTCTAGGTCTACTATATCTTTAATCCATCTCCCAAACTAAATATTGTACATATTTCCTGTTTTACTCGGAGTATCTATTTTCTGAGGATGCTGCAATTATTTGCTATAATAGAATATTGTACCTACCTCCACTACTATTCGTATTACCCATCTGCACTTTCTTGTTGAGGCTACTACTAGGTACAGCCACTTGCTACTACTTAATCGGGTTAGTGTACATATTGTAATCGGGTTGCTTTACATATTCATCGTACCTATTGATTGTACCTAAAGGCTGTACCTTTTTGATGAGTTCATGTCCTGTAACTTTTCGCTGTACCTTTTTACTGTACCTACTGAGACTACTGAGACTACTACTTCTAGGTAATGCCATGTCTCTCTCTCTAGTATTAATTTGCCTTCATTTAATATATTAAATAAATCCTTTGTAGAGCATGCAAACTTCGTCAAGTTCATCTCGAATTCGCTCTTGTTTCTCTCGTTATTCTTCATGCTCAACGTTTTTGGTTTATTCGCCTGGCGAATCCTTTGGAGGCCTTTAGTTTAGTTTTTTGTAATTGTTTCGAGCCGCTGTTGCTTGTTTGTTTATTATTGCTGTTATTTTTAGACAGATTCTTTGTGTGTGTGTGTGCTTGAGTTAAGGGGAGTTAAATTGTTTTTATTTATACATTGCTCGAGGGTGGCATCTGGAATTGGGGGCGTGGCTGGGCTGGGCGGCTGGAGAATGTGGCCCAGATTTGGGCACAATTTGCATTTTGCGAGCGCGCGAAATTGTGTGTTGCGAGGCGTGTGAATAATGTGTGGAGCTTACAGCGATTGCCCGTGCCCGTGCCCGGCCACGCCTCGCCCCGCCTCCCAATGAAAACTGCGGCGCTCGGGTGCCATTAGAATGATTTGTAGCCGTGGCAATCTAATTAATGCTGTCGCAAAAGCATGAAACAGATAAAGAATTCCCCAATACTCCAAACACTTGAACTAATTGCGAGGCAAAGAGCGAGTGTGTGTGTGTGTGTGTGAATGCCGCGCAAAGCCGGATAGCTGAACAGCTGGACTACTGGACTTAGCTCAGCAAAAGTTTTCCTTGAATGGAGCTCTTCATGGCATTTGTCATGAGATGTTCCGGCGTAAATCTCTTAAAATTTGCATGACAAATGAAATACTCACTTAACGAGCTGTCGAGCAAGAGTCTCTTTTCATGCCAATTTATGTGCAAATATAGATTTAAATTTATTTGGAATTCTCACAACTATTTATATTTATTAAAAAAAAAAAATAAATAAA